ACTTTGCCATCATCATTCTGAATTAGTGGCTCTTTCTTGAAAAGAAATAATTACCCTCTATCGAAGCAGGAGTAAAATGTGGATTGCCAAAAATTTACTGGTTTGGGTCCAGGAGAGGAGTTTCTTAAGGTCCAGATCCCAAAACAGTCTCCTGGGAGTTGATAAAATCTCTTTCTTAGAGGTCTCAAGATCAGGTGCAAAGCTAAAAGTGTGGGGCTTGGGGACATGCAAACAGCCTTGCTAGGAGGAGGGAAGAGACTTCAGGTCTCCCCTGCTCAATAAAGAAACCTTAACATCTCAGGCATCTTTCTGCACCAATCATAAGTGGGAATACCAGATTCCAACAATACCTTGTGGAATCTCAACCACAGCACAATTGACATTTTGGGCTGGATAATTCTCTGTTGTGGGGGCTGGCCTGTGCACTGCAGGATGTTTAAGCAGCATCCCTGGCCTCTATCTATTGGATGTCAATAGCACCTCCTTAGTTGTGACAACCAAAAATGTCTCCAGATATTGCCAAGTGTTGCCTGTGGGGGGCGAATTTCCTGCGGTTGAGATTCAGTGTTACAAATACCCAGGCTCAAAGGTCAGCATCACTTCTCCGAAATTGTATTTTTCTCCCTCCTCCTCTTCCTGCCCTCCTTTCTCCTTCCTTCATGATAAAAATCAAAACACCCTTGACCACAGAAAGTGATAAGTACACCAGCAATAACATACATTTTACTGTGAAGATACCAAAAGAATTGTTTCTGACAAGTAGCGAAATACGTATTGTGCCTTTGCAAAAAATGAAACAGAAAGTGACAGGTAGGTAGGAGGGACACCTTTCTGTCTTGCTCAAATTAATAAGAAAGAACTCTGCAATCTCATCTCTCTCCTGTCTCTAGGCAGCATCTTAGATGCCACTGACTGGCCAACACCTGATCCTGTGAAGGCCACCTGCTGAGCCACTGCCTGAGCAGGGGGCTAGGACACTTCAGGCGCTACTCCAACACAACTGATAACGCGGGTACACAAACAAGGAAACAGCACAGGTGCAACTTAATTTCAAGGTCCATTAGCAGCACAAAGTGGGGGAAATTGCACTTCCAAATGTAAGCCCTGGAACTCAGCAGGGACATTTTTCATTTTCAATTTTCAAATGGTAAGAATAATAATTATGGTTCCTTTTATTGAGAACAGCATCCAAGTTGAAATACACTGCACCTTAACCCCAAATACTAGAATATGTTGCATGTTGCAAGTGATATTTAGGAAACGCAGGGCTGCCTAATGTTCAATTTGGATTAAAGATCAGAAAACAGCCACTGGAGTTGTGCCCGCACCTTCAATTTTGTGGTTGTATTTCCCAACTGACCTTGCAATTGTAAGTGGTCATAACACAAAGGGAATGCTATCATGATGTCTTGTCTTTTAGCTAACCCTCAATACTGGCCAGTTATTCAGCTGATATTGAATGAAAATAACTGATTCTTGAGAAAAATAAATCAATGCACATGTACAAACACACACCCATGCTCCCTACCCCCCATACAGAGCTGTGCAATCCCCCTCTCTGAAAATAATTTTGACAAAGGCGCACGTACTCAAGTCCTCTCAGGGAGGAAATCTGGAGAAATTAATTTAATGTGATTGGTTGAAGGGTGGGGATTTTTTAAAATCCAGTTTTTCATTTATTTGATTCACCTTCATCTTCAACAAAATAAACTCAAAAAAAAGCTCCAAAAAAGCAGTTCCATCTGATTCTTGACTTTAATAAAGTTCATTTCCACCTAGATTTCTTTAGGGGTACATTCACTTTCACATAATAAAAAAGGCCAAGAGTGATAAATTCGGAAAGAAAAGGCATTTTGGATAAAAGCCACATAGAACACAGCTAAACAGAGAAAGGAATGGCGATACACTCACACACAGAGCTACCCCTAAAAAGAAAATAAATTTAGGGAACCCTTCTTCAACTGCCATGGTACCCAATTTAGAGGCAGTTTATAGTCAATCAGAAGCTATATCAGCAGTAAGACACAACAGTAAGCAATCAGAAACGTCAGTGAGCAATAAGACACCAGAGTAACTAGTAAAGACACACCAGGGAGAACATTTCTGAGCAATTACCACATGTCTTACTGCAGAAAGGGAGAGAGAAACACTTTACTCAACTAGGATTGGAATCCTAGAAAAATGAACTCTCTCACAGCTCACATTCCTGCTATGACAAGAGGGATGTGAGGACCACCAACATGGCCGTGGATTGGAGAGAAGGCAACAAAAGCAATGAGGGATTTTCATGAATGAGGACTATGAAATTAAGTTCTCGCCCCTCTTTTCTCGGCACCTTTATCTACAGACATAGCAAATAGTTAAAATAATAACTGTTGGTTAACTGACAAGGTATAAAGGATTCTCCAGCCTCTAGGAAAATAAAGGAGGATGCTTTTATTCCTTATTTCACATCCATATCCACAGTAGCCAATGCAGTATCCAAAGGAAGAGATGCATATGCACATACACACACACAGGTGGACGAGCTTTTTTTTATAGCAAGGTCAGCCAAAGGAAGAGACCCTTAGACATAGAGAACTTCCTTATTAGACAGGTTATTCAACATTCCAGGAAACTGTCAGCTTCCAGGAACCTCTAAGAAAATGGTAGCACATTTTTCTAGACTCATCCATGTGCAATGATTTACAAATGGAAGCAAGAAAGATGGAATAAACACTCATAATCTCTTCTCTACAAGGCGCTGGGAGGTCTTAAGCTGAGCTCAGGGAATTCTAGTACCAAAGGTCCCTGTCTCCTCAAAACTTAAACTCAGTAAAACCTGTGAAACCATTTACTTCTCACAGATGCTGAGAAGATTAGGTAAAATCATATACCCCCCAAGGGTTGGCAACAGTAACTGGTATTACTGGACTATTGATAGATGTCAGTTTCTTCTTCCTTCAAGTTTTTTTCTGGGTCACAATGCATTTTTAGCCAGTATCTCCTCCATGATGCCCCTATGCCTCAATCCTACTCACCTTCAAAGTTTACCTCCTTGAAGGAAGACTTCTACAGTCATGCCCACTTACAGTGACCATAGTTCCTGTTATTTTATGCATGTGTATTATTTTCCTAATTATCCAGTAAAGTCTCGAAAGTATGGAGCGTATCACACACACACACGAAACATACAAAGGAAAATGAGCTTATTAAAGGCATTAACTGTACATTTTCTCCCATTTCCCCAAAAGAAAAAAAAATACTTTGGTTTTTTAAATATTAGTAAAAACACAGTACCAGTGGTACATCTAAAGGAGCCCAACTCAGAGCCAATAGCTTAGAGAATGTGCTCAAGACACATTTATTAACTGAGTGAACTAGCTCAATACACGGGGCTGGGATCCTATTTAAAAGAAGTAACCACCAGCTCCCTCCCATTTCTTTCCTGGAGGTCTCCCCAGAATTCTGTACCCTGGGATTTGGAGCCCAGGCAGAGAAGTCTCCCTGTGAACTTGGTACACAAATAGAGCTGCTGGAGGCCGCAAGATTCCTCATTAGGGAAGAGAATGACAGCAGACATGTTTTCATGGGCCCTGCAGGACAGAGGCAGTGGGAGGCAACAAAGGCAGAGGCAGAACACCTCACCCCACCCCCTGAACTACGAAAACGCAGAGCTGTCATGAAACCAGATAGGATCTTTTCAGTAGCCTTTCCTACTGGGGATGGGGGTGGAGGAGTGGAGACTGGAGGGGCCTGGCTTCTATTTATTAATAAGCAGCTCAACACAGTGGGAGGTTTTCTTGTCTAATTACAGAAGCTGTTGGAAACTGCAGGGAACACAGGATTTATGGCCGAGATGACACTGCCTCTGCATTGTAATTAAAAGTTATTTTCAATACCTTTGTTTGGTTGGATACTTTGGATTATTAGAAATATATTTTGTAATTTAAAACTTGCTAAAGGGCAAAGAACACAACCAAAAGGTAACCCGACAAGTTTGCATAATGTGAAACAATTAAATGATTTGACACTGGGAGGCAGACAAGGAAAAGAATCTCTTCCACTTAAGTCTGTGAATTCCTTTAAGAAAGAGGGAGAGAGAAACAAGCCAAAAGTGTACTGGAGTTAAAAAATTTCAGAAGTAACCCAGTTACTTACTTTACCCATTAACTAGAGTCTGGATACCACCCACCAGGAGCATGGACGGCTCATTCACAACCATTCAGCCACAGCACCTAATCCTAATTCTCGAGCTCTTCGCTTTGTCCTGAGTCCCTAGGAAACGACACTTGTCACCCTAAACAAGAGCAAACCCTGGCTCAACCACAAAGATGCACTGCCAACCCCAGGGCAGTGCGATGGCGGTTCAGTGTGAGCTGTACACAATACATCTATGTATGACTTAGGTTTGGTTTTTAATCCATTTCCCTCATCTTATCCAAGACACCAGGTTCAAGAAGGGCCAGGCATGCATTCCAGTGGGAACTGCATGGTGGCATCCATGAGTGGCTACAGAATCAGCCCAAGGTCAGGCAGGGGCCACTCACTTCCTAAGAGCCATTTCTAGAATTCCTATTTCTCCAGATACCCACAGGAGGCATTTTCTACAGAGGTGGCTCTTCTTTAAGAACAAGGAGGAGAGAATCTATTATACGTAACAGACTTTTGATATCGTCTGATAAAAATGGGGAGAAGGAAGGAACTCTAACCGGCATGAGCTTCCCAGATAAGCTCGACATTTCATTTAACCACACTGTGAACCTTCTCATTCAAAGTGAACTCAGGAGCTCATTATGTGAAAAACGTCACAGAAACCACCAGACACTATACATCATGATGAGACTATAAAAGCATTTTAACATCTGTTATTCAAAAATCAATTTAAACGTAGCTTTATAGGGGCCATACCAAGTTTACGGGATTTATCTTACACCAAGAACCACTGCGCTCCTTTATTCTTTTCCCAGTTCAAAGCACGAACTGACTCCACGTCAGGGCGTGGAGATTGCTGTTCTCACCTGCCACGTTAATTTTCTCAAGTGCTACCAAGCTGGGAACAGCTGTGGTGGAGTTGGTCGAGTTTGTTCCTGTGCCATTGATTACAAGATTGTCCACCTTCGACTCCAACTTGCCAATGCGCTGTAAAATATTATCCAACAACACAGCAAGCGTTTTCTTCAGATCTGTAAAAGAAAATGCACATAATTTAAAAACTCTTCAGTCTCTGCATATTGCTTTAGGGCACATACTCTTTCTCTCTGATATTAAAACAGAGTTGCAGTCAAAAAGTACTGCTCAATGATCTGTCCTAACAAACCATGTCTTCAAGATGAAAGGGGCCATCTTCAAGTGGCCTAGAGAGTACAAAACAAATCGGTCTGTTCTGCGATGCAAGTTTGGCAATAAATGACAAAATTATTTCCAGCTATTAGGGTGATAGAGAAAATATCGCGTTACTTAGCATCCTACTAAAGCATTCTATTAATTCCTCCTCCTTAGAGCATGATGATTACTGACACACAGAATGACAACCCCAAAGGGCAGCAAGGTTCTGAAGTAGCTTCTGGGTCAAGTCCACTGTTATTTTTAGTGCTGTGTACTGTAGCATGTCCTAATTTTTTTTGCAAAATTAGTTACCTATGGTAATACTTAATAAAAGCTGCACTTCTTGATTTCTAGGCAGGCTGGATAACCCAAACTATAATCAGATTTAGAAAACTACTTAAAGACCAGAGTCATTCGTTTGTTCAAGAAATATTTATTAAACAACTACTATGTGCCAGACACTGTTCTAGATGCTGGGGATACTGTCTCATGGTGCTTACACTGAAGAGTTGATTCCCTTTCTTATACACCTGATTGAGTTAAAGAGCAGTGTACTTCCCTCTGGACAAATTACAGACACATGATCCTCACACAGACATCAGCATTTACTAGGTTTGTATACAAGGTATTCCACATACACAAAAAATTTGAATTTAGCCCCTCTCCTCTGGAGACTCATAATCAAAGAAAGATACACACACTTGTATAAGTGGGAAAAGCAGATGGACCACAAGAAAGCCATCCACGTGAATAGAATCCAGACTCATTATGAATTGGGAGTGGGCCAAGGGAGAAGCACACAGTGTGGGTAACAGGATGGACTAAAGTCCGGAACTGCGACCCACGGGAAGTTGCCATCTTCACTCTGCTGGGAAAAGAACAAGCTTGCTCCGAGCAGGTGCTCTGATCTGGCCAGGAAGGAAACACACATCTGGTTAATTCACCAACTCCCAGAGCACAGCCAACCAAATTTAACCAAGAGGCAGTCAGGCTGTCCTACTTTGCCAAGTCAAGACAGAAACTCATCAGAACAGAAACACAGATATATAATTAACATGGAAGTCTCTATTCTCAGTGGTTTACGGACAGCATCACTGGAGCTGACGAAAAAACTATAAACAGAAACAAAATCCACGTGTGTATCTTGAAAACCTAGTTTTATGTGCTTGGAGTAATCTCATTCTCCCCACACTCCCTCCACACAAAACATCAGGCTTCTCCACAATGTTAAGATCTGGGGCAGTCTGTTCCCTCATTCATTCTAACATTAGAATACCTGACAAGGCCTATTTTTCGCTCTTCAGTGTATATCTTACCTACAGGTTGTAAGACAAGGTGGCCATGACATTAGTGCAACAGGGCTCAAAACAGGATTATAAGAAAGAAGCTGGAAGTGAACCAATGTTTCCTCAGTGCCTTTTACATGCCACACACATGTATAAGAAATCCCATGTTATCTTCACATTCGCCATGAGGTAGGTATGACTTCATTTTACAGAAGAGAAAACTGAGGTTCGCAGACATGAAGTAACATGCTCGTGGTTACAGAGATCATAAATCAGAACAGGGACTCGACTCAGGTCTGCCTAATTCCCTGATGCCTCACTGGGACTGGCCAGAAGTCAAGAGCCAGCGTAGAAAAAAGAAACCAAGTGTGAAATTCTCTGTCTTTGAGGGCCCAGACTTTGAAGCCACACTTCCTAGGGTTGAGTCCTTGCTCTCCATTCCTGCTTCTTTCTCTGTAAAAGAGTAGTATGAATAAGCCTACTTTTGGGGTTGTTATGAGGACTTAATGAGGTAATACTTATAAAATGTTTTGAACACTGCCTGGCACATAATAAGCACTACGTAAGTTCCCGTTACACACATAAATTTGAAAAACCTTCCTCTGAAAAATGCTCTCCTCTTTCCTGAAGAACTCTCTCTCTGGGTGATGCAAAGCTTTATCGCTTTATCCAAAGGGTCATGAGATTGCTCTCCTCTGGTGGCTGCAGTCCCACGGTCAGCGTGACTCATAGTCTATCCCTGGCACATCATTAGCTGGCATGGACAGCAGGAGTCAGCCACCAGCTCTGCTCTTACGCTGAATCTAAAGCATCAACGAGTTCTCCAGGGTTCTGAAGACTGCCAGAGGCTGGCCACGCAGATGGGGGCAATGGTGCCACTGAGAGGTGGCTATATTCAGTATAAAGAAACCGCTCCTCAGATAAAGGATGTCAGTCTCCCCCATCTCAGCCTCTTTGCCTGGAGCCTGGATTACCAGGGAAAGAATCCCTGTGTAAAAATGACATTTAACTATTACCAGCAATTACAGTTAGCCAGACACAGAAGCTCTGGCCCTCTAGTTTGGTTAACTCAGGGTTTCTCAACTTTGGAACTATCGACACTTTGGACCAAGCAATTCTTTGTTGTGAGGGGCTATCCTGTGCATTGTAGGGTGTTTGGCAGCATCTCTGACCTCTAGCCACTAAATGACAGCCACAATCCCCCATTGTGACAACCAAAAATGTCTTCAGACATTGCCAATGTCCTTTGGGGGGCACAACTGCCTCCATTTGAGAACCACTGAATTAGGCACATTCTCCCAACCCTTGTCTTCCCCATTTCCCTTCGGTGGAGATATCACGAGAGAATTCTGACAGAGGGGTTACAGCATAGAAAAGGGAAATGTGAGACACCACTCACTAAACTTAGATTATGTGTGACTTCCACTCACCGAGGCACGAGAGGCACTGCTACCAATTCAATGATAGGTACAATGAGGGAAAGTCAGCCTTCCTCCCCACGGGAGCTGACAGAAGCCTAGCCCATGCTAAGGTTCGCTCAAGGGCTGGTAACCTTTTGCAACACTGTTAAAAGGCAACAAGACTACTGGACAGAGCTCCTAACCCACAGTCATCGGTGACAGTCACTGGTGGGGCACATGGGGCACACCTTAGGTAGGATGCCAAGTTGTCACATCAGCGTTAAGAAGATGCTTTTCCTCAATTCTTAAAATACAGTCCACCGATAAGTACAACCTATCTCCTTCTGGCCCCACCCACCAGAGACTGACCTTTTTGTAACTCTGTGACTTGATATGAATAAGGGAATTCATGATGTTGATGAGGATGTTGATGTTCACCCTCACAGCTACCACCCCCATACTACTCCTCCTACTGCTACCGCTGCTACTATTACTACGACCACTGCTGCTACTATTACTACGACCACTGCTGCTACCACTATTACTGCTACTACTCCTGCTGCTACTGCTATTGCTACCACTACTACTGCTACTCCTCCTCCTGCTGCTGCTGCTACTGTTACTGTTATTACTGCAGCTGCTACTCCCACCACCACCACTTATTGAGCTGTATGTGTCAGCTGCTGTCCTAGGCACTTTACATGGATTAACCCATTTGATCCGGCCAAGACAAATATGACGAACGTGCCATTGTTCACATCTCCATCTTACAGATGAGTAAGCACAGCACAGAGAAGTCAAGTAATTTGCCCAGATGATTGCAGACCCAGAGTTCTAACCCAAACAGCCTGGTTCCAGAGCTGACGGCTCTAACCTCCCATGCTACGCTGCCTCCTAAGAACCACTGTGGACCCGCGGGCCAGCAAGCATCTCTGACCTGCTGCTTCTGAGCACACTTATCAGGAACTAACTCTGGGCCCTGCCATGCGTTCTTCTGAAATCATATCCCAACCACCCTCAAGACTCGCTGATGCCACTGCTCTGTGACAACTCCAACACTAAAAAAAGGGGAAGAATCTGCCCTTCCCTACCATGGGCCTTCAAATGAAAAACGCAATATAAGGCTCTCAAAATCCTTGGACTCTCCAGGTACTTTCCCTGGGTAGGGAAAGTGTTTTCTCTCCCAACATGAAAGAAAAAAAAGGTCATCTGCAACTCAAGCAGTTATGTGACTCATTATTTCAGAGCAGTCTAACGCAAGATGAAAGACATTGTAAACAAAACACAAAGATACAAAGACGAGGCCAAGCTCAGCTCTGTGAATAAGTGAATAAATGAACGAACCAACAAATTAATGAAACACAGTCTTTGCACAAATAAGGCTACATAAATTATACCTTTCTAGGCAATGAAATTATATCTCACCTTTGTATTTTACAGTTAAACCTGCAAAAACTGTTAAGAATTTTATTGCCATTTTAAACTAATATCAGAGTATTTTTGTTTGTGTTTCAGTCTTAATGATAACCCATTTGCCCAGTAAGACTATACACTCAAGAATAATTTCTATAGACTTTAATAAAGAAATGAGGGTGAAAATATTCCTCCAAATTCTAGTATAATATTTTTATATTTATCATTATGTTTTACAGTTATTACAGCAGTAACATGTGTCCTCAGCAGGATTACAACTTCAATTACTAACAGGCTTTTAAAATTTTGTTTATGCTTCAAAGCCTTAGCAATCAAAACTTAATCCCAACATTACTACAGCAATTCTGTGTTGCTAAAACTTACTGTACATGATAAAGATAGATCAAAGTAGCTCAAAACATTTAAAATGTCCCTCTGGAGACAGTAAGTTTTGGTTTTTATCAGGCTAGAAGTTCTTTGATAAAGAGTAAAATCGACGAAATCTCAGAACAGGTGCTCTGACAGCTTCTATAAGTTTTCATTTCCAGAAAGCCAGGACATGAGGGGGAAGAAAGGGGCTGGAAGATGCTGCCACATCCTTGAGCAGGACAGTCAAAGAGATTTCACTGCCAGCTATCCTTTCCTCCACAGCTGTAGTCCAAGGAGGGGGGATGTCAGGACAAAGGAGGTCCTGCTGGTGAAAAAAGGTCTATCAGTTTATAGGTCTATCAGCTAAAGCTGTGACACTGGCCGGTAAAC